GGGTGGAGTTTCATGGTATATTTAAAAAACGTTGGCCGATGAAAATATTTTTTCATGGTCGCGTTCACGACGATTCGCGGAATCCCTCAGGGACAAGCAACAATTTCGTTGTAAAATGAACGCGACGAACATACGTTTCAGTGGCTTTTAAAAACTTCGGAAACACTGCACGGTTACGGCCTTTCGAATTTTTTCTGTACGCTTCGCCCCTTCGCTTTTTAATTGCATTCTGAAAAATCGTTCGATCGCTGACGAACAAATCTTCTTTCCCTCTATTTTTCCGTCCCATTTTACCTTTCGCTTTGTTCCTTTTATTTTATCGTTCTCTACTTGCTCTTTTCCTTCGTTTTTCGGCTGTTTTAATGTTGCCACGGAGGATCGATGTTGCCGGCGATGAAAAATACAAACAGGACCGGGTTACGCGGCGCGATTCCCTCGGCCATTTTCAACGCAGACAAAGAGGCGATAGTAAATCGCGAATATGATGTAACAGGCCAGCTCGAGCGTGGGTGCTCGAACGGTGTCTCGTATAACGAGCCGGCTGCATGGGAAACGCTTCCTGAAGACAGTGAAGAATTACCGTGACGCGAGTGCACAAAGAGCCGCCGTCATGGCACGACGCTCGGTCGTTAAAGATCTCAAAGCTTTCGGCGCTTCGGAAAAAAGCGACATGGACGTTTCTGTCGCGACGCGTTCTGATCACCTCGGAACCGTGTCCGCAATTTTTAGTGGCACACTCGATTCACCTTTGACAGATCGTTGTAACGACGTTAGATTGAGAAAGATTTTTAACAGCTTCGAGCGAGATGGTTTTATTATCTTTCCGCGAGAAGGAACATCGGACGAAGATCTTTTCCTCTCTGTGTTGGATTACCTCGAATCGAGTAATTCGTGCGACGTAAGAAGCGCTCTTTAAGCAACGTTACCCTTTAACCTTATTTTTTATAGCCTTGAACCATTCAGACTTCAAGCAAGGTGCCATAAAGCAGTAAGTGGCAGTTACGGTATGGCCATTTTATTTTTAGAATCTGCTATGCCCGTTATTTTAGGTATTACCGGCTGAACTTATAACTTCGACACAGATTCTAGCGCCATTAAGGTCGGATTAACCTTGTCACACGCGACCAACCCTCTTTGCTTAGAAAATCCAAAGTTTCGAAGCATCCAAAGAACGAAGTAAGAGGTTTACCCTGTAACTCGCTGTTTCGAATGCATTTAAACCGAACTTTCGGACGTCAAAAATCTGCCAGGCACGGGGTCTTGGTAAGTTGGCCAAGTTTCGAAGAAGGTAAAAGAGAAAAACGAAGAAACTCGAAGAGTTTACGTAACCTAGAGAAAAAGTGGCGCCAATTCCGCGGTCTTTCTAGGTACAGGCTTTTTTTCAAACTTGAATATCGATCGCACGCTATTAGATTGACCGCGGCTCGTTGCACACGACCGATCGTTAGAAAGATTTATGTCACGGTCTGGAGATTGATTTACCGCGCGCCCATGCCTTTCAGAAGTGGACAAATAAACGTTGCGACAAAACGCGGAGAACTGTACACGATCAACGTAGCGATGCATTTTACCACCACCTGTCGTCGTTCGTCTCTTACGAATGAAATCGAATTCACGAAAGAATCATTCAACGTGCCTCTGGTCGCGTTAATCGTTGTTCACGTTCGCCAAGATTCGAAATTTTTGGCAAAAGAAGGTAAAAACGTATCGAATGCGTGTTTCATCGCGATATGCGTCAACGATCGTTGGACGAAATGAACGATTTATCTACCTAAATGAACAATATATCTATTTGTCTTGTTATATACGTATAATGCCACAATATCGTATAATACGTAATAAATTCAGAATGTAAAGATACAGAAACTTTACGTCACTCTGCCCCGTTAAATAAAAAAGCATGGAAACAAAGCGTCAAATAATCGCGTTACGTAGCTTTCATACCCTTCGGTGTCAAGTCTGGCGTATTTATACGAAAACTTCTATCATCGAAAAATTTCCACGGGGCGAGTAAGAATATCGCGAGCGATATACAAATCTATCGAAGAATTTCGGTTGGGAGCTTGCGATCTACGCGTGCAGCTATCTTCGTATACTGGAGGAAGCAAAAAAAAAAAAAAAAGAAAAAAAAGATGAAAAAAATGCTTAAAAGCAAGCGAGATACGTGCGCCGACCAGAGGGTATTTACATATTTATATTTCTCGCACGCACGAATCCGCGCGGCTCGTATTTGTTTAATAAATACATTTCCGGACGGCCTCTCTCGCGGATATTCAAATTTCAGCTGGGGGCACGCGGCAGTGCGTCGAAATTTCGACGTTGCTCGAATATCGAAAAATCGCTTTTCTCCCCTCTCGCGCATTTTTCAACCGATTACACGGGGCCAGAACCCGGTTACAACACGAAAGTCTGAAACAAAACCACCGCCCTTACGAAGCCGATTTCTATTTACCAGCCACGACAGGGATTAATTCGCTCGGCGAATTTATCGACGTTGAATCGGCCCGGAACTCGATACGATGTTACAACGCGATCGGTGCTGTGGTCCGGATACTTACGACCTGTTCGTTCGCTTTGTTGCGACATGCTAGTGGATTCGTAAAGCTGATAGATATTTTACAGCTTGCAATTGTTTTCTGCTTTTACGCCAGGATGATTTCACTGTCGATATAAAGTAGATTTCATCGGGGAACCTGACGCTTTCTAAATCATTTTTGTTCATCGACCAAACAATTTTCAGCCGACTATTTCCTTCACAATCGTACGCTGATTCTAACGAAAACTACCCACCTTTCGTACGTACGTGCGTATATTTCCAATCAAAGATTTCACCGAGGAAACTAAACGCGAAAGGAAAAAAAATAAACGATAAAACGATACGACCTTCGAGTATTCGGGCAATCTCGTAAATCAACCAGAAATTGTCCCATAAAGTAATTACATTTAGTCAGTTTGTCGTGCCATCAACGATCCAAGAGTTTGCTAAGATCGAGCCACCCTCTTGCCATTCCCAGTCTCACGATATACCGTGAAATGAAACGATTGACATAAAACGAAGCCACGAGAACGCGGATATTTAGCGTTTGTCGATACGCATCGAGATCGAAGGTGTTATTGCTGTCGGGCAGCAGTCTGAACCGGCTTTTGTTTTCCCCCTTACAATCGTGCAGGGTGATATTCCCGTTTCGTCCGACCTGACATCTCCCAATGCGCATTGCGATTCCCCTGGCAATAATGTTTATTACCAGCGGAATAGTCGCGGCTCGTTCGTTCGCTCTCGCTGGTTGTTTGCTTAATTTTTCTAATAAACCGGCGGATAGACGGTCTAGGGTTTACTGTCTGTCGGTATACAACGAAATGGGGGTTCGATAGAATCGCGTATCTCGTCGAGTTACTGCTTCGACGATCGGTGGAGTGGGGAGCTCAACGACGATTTTTCACTCGGGTCCGTAGACCGTTTACGCGTTTCCATGAAGACCACTCGACTCTGGATTAACATTTTCACGAACGATGGATGCTCGTTCCATCGATGGATCGATGAACAGTGTATGGCTGTCCCAGAATCTAACAATTGCAAGTTGCAAGAACTCGATGGTTGCTCGATGACGCTTGATAGATGGACAGATAGTTGGAAATTTCATTTTCACGCGAGGAGAGAAAGAGCGGTTAAAATTGGATTACCGAGGCTGAATTCGAAATTGGATTTTCTACTCACGGACAGACTACTTTCGACAATTAAATCCTAGTTGGACTTTGTGTCTCGGATGCTACAATTTATTGTCATTTGTATGTTCACTCTTTGGTAAATATCGACATACTATTTTTCTACTCTATCTCTACCCTGTTTAAAACTATCGAAATCCGAATTAGAGATTCTTCTCTTGCTTACGAGATTATCGTCGGCTGGACGAGATACTTGTCGCAATACACGAGACACGATGAAACATAGTGGAAAGAAAGTTAGGAAATCGAAGGTCCAAGTGAACTCATCGCGTCGTAGCTATATCTTTACGAGTCTCCTTCGACCTGCCAACAATTTACAGAGCGACTCTGTTCTCTACGTGACGAAGGTAACAAGAGGCAAATCGCTTTGTCAACGCACCCCCTTTCGCGCACGCGACCCTCGCACCGAGGCCCATAATTCACTTGACGTTATGCGATTCGTCGAGTTCGAAGCCGATAACTTTATTTAAAAAACGAACAGGAAAAATAAAGTGGAGGCGTAAGCTCGTCTCATCGTGTTCCCCGCTTTCTGAATAATGGATGTACCGGCGTATCTCTGAATTTTATCGCCATTCCCGGAAACTAGGAACCGCGGACGGAGGAAGAGGCTGAGCGAACAATTTGTAGTCACGGCAAATCGATGGATCGACGAATGGATTAACGAAGAAGCCATTTAAATCTCAGGCGCAAGAATTTTAAAAATAGAATCGTCGTGTTTCCGTGGCAGAATCAATCTGTTTCAGCCGTCGACTATAAAACGTCCAAGTAGTTCGCAGTTTTGTGTTACGTTTTATATCACGAAGATAAATCAGCTTTGTTTGCACGCGCGAGAACCGCGTAAGTATAGTAAATTTATTTATGCAGAAGCATCGTATTAATTCAACGATCGACGCTGGCGAAGTTTTACGTGCTGCTCAACCGAGTCGAAAATAAAGTTTAGCGCTGATAATGGGACGCGTGATCGACGTTGTCGTTTGATAATGGCGAATTAAGTTGTTTGCAAGTTGCAGACGTTGTTCGCGAAATTGCGCGTGTATACGCAAGCAAAGAGGCATCGCGACGTTGAAAATTGATGCATGTCACGCAGCGCGATTGCGATCACGTGTCAAAGTCGAGCGAAAGGCGACGTTAAATGGCATAACGTTCCTATCAGTTGCCACCGTTTTCTCTCATAACCTGCTCCTCTTCGTCGTAACCACCTCTTGTTGCTCGTGCCAATATCTGCACGCGATGCTTCGCTTCACTCGTTATTCGATCAACAATTGTAGACACAGCTCGACAATTGCAAGTAGTAGTTCAACGATCATCGTATTACAAATTATCGTTAATACCGTTCGTTTTGTTATCCACGATATTCGTAGAATTAATTAACTACGCGGTATAGATCGCGATTTCCAAACTGTAATATAATATTACAACGTTTATCTACAAACTCAACGAATATCTACCGTATTTAAATCGGAAGCATCAATGATGGGATCGTTTCGATGACCTCGCGTGACCTGGAAATCATCTTAAGTTCCACTAACGCAATCTCGATGACTCCTCGTGAACTCTTTTGAATAATCTTAGGTAACGTAATGATACGATCTCGATGATATTCTAGGAACGTTAATGATGTTCGTTCTAATATGGAAACTTCCATGACCCCTTGTGACGTGAATTCCAATAACCGTGAAAATGACCGTGAATTTCAATAACGAGAACTCAATTACTGGTTATTAGGGTATCCAGAATAGCCTAAGCGCGGCCGACCGGATCTCGGTAGTCTTCCCCAGTGACATCGTGAAACAACAGCTTATTCTTGGGTTTTCATGCATGTTTAAGGTGCTCTAGCTCATCTAGCTTCGTAATATACTCGTTGCACCTGCGTGGATTAATATCATGGGAACGGTAGAGGGTAAGAAGGTGTGTTTCAGAGCTAACGTGCACGTTAAAGTTTTAGTAACAAGCATCCAGTAATTCTTGGCAACTTTGTAGGCGACACAGTCTCTCCAGCTCGCGCCGCATTATGTTTAAATCTTACGTCTAAATCTTACGCGATCGAAGTTACCTGTATAAGACGGAGATGAATATTTAAATTCTCATCGGAGCAATCACACCGTTCGAAAACGATATCCACCCCGGCCTCATTTTTGTCCGGCAGTGGAATTTCAGGAAGATTTTTCGTTAAACGATCGGAGAGGTGCACGGAGAGGTTAACGTGGTTCACGATCCAGTGGCAGAACTGGCGCGTATCGATAAAGTCATTT